GGGGGGGTGGTATCTTGTGTCACCTGTGGAGAGAAAATCGGTCAAGGGGGTGTGGTATCTTGTGTGGCCTACGGTACTGTGGGAACCCTACCTCGACGGCCTCAAACCCAACCGGGAAGTCCGCGCGATGAATGAAATGCCTCGTGGCGTGGTAGAACTCCGACAGTCCCGGCGGGCCGTGCAGGGTGAACGCCGGCCGCTTGCTGCTGCTGCTGCTGCTGCTGCTGCTGCTGCTGCTGCTGCTGCTGCTGCCGCCGACCTCTCCCTCCTCTGCGTCTTCTGCTCCCTCGCCGCCGCTAGCCCCTCTCCCCGCCTTGCCCGCGGTCGGCACTTGCCCGTTCCTGATGTCGGCGAGGGTTAAGACCATACCTGGGGAGGGACAACAAGAACGGCGAGTGCGGTGCGCTTTTTACCCGGCGGAGCATTGGGTGGGGTAGGTACCAGCGGCGGCGGGGGTGGCGAGTCTTCCCTCGGCGAAGGAGGTGTCCGACAACACGCCTTGCCCTATGTTTGGCTGTGCCAACTGATTTCCACGAACTATCTCGCCTCCATGCGGACGACGTAGATGTACTCCGCCCCGGAGGAGCTGAACCAGCCTGCGGCGATCGCTACCAATCCACCCGCCCCCCCAACAAGATAACGAACAACACGCACGGCTCGTGGTGATGAGGTCAAGCAGGACATGCACCAAGCGAAACGAAGAACGGCATGTCGAAGAGGGGAGGCTGGCACCCTTAACATCCCAAAGGCTTGCTTGCTTCGCTAGCAAGAGCCCCCTTCCACCAACGACGTGTCCATCTAACGTGAAGCAAGACACGCACGCTCGGCGTCTTGGGGCGGCCGACTCTCCTCCAGCCTCGTCGCAGCTGTTGCGCTTGCGTTCCGTCGGTCGTGTGGAGTCGACAAAGCGGTAGAGGTTACTTACGCAAACAAGCCTCGAGCACCCCCAGTCCCCACGCCTTCGCGAGGACATTAAGCGCTCAATGTGAATTGAAACGGGGGTTTCGTAACCCTAACCCTAACCCCCGTACGCCCTACTAAGAACCAAGATGCACATCCTCGCCAAGGCTATACAGAATGTACCGTAGAGGTCCCTGTCTAGTGCCAGGTGAATAGTACCCGTGCCCCGTGTTTTCGGCGGGCACACACTGAACTTCCACGCCATTCTCAACACTTTGAATAGCGTGCCGGTCCGGAATAGATTATGCCGGTGCATTTTCGGGGCAAATGTACCGGCACTAAACAGGGAGGGCTTCTACTGTGCTCTCACCAGGCACGCCTCCCAAGGTGTCCGAGGTGAGGTTGGTGAAGAACGCATGCTCAGCCTTGGCGAGCCGGATGCCGTGTTCCATGCAAAGACGCTGGGTCCCTTCCCCCACGTTAAACAGAAACCTGTAGACCGCGTTGTTGTTGTTGTTGTTGGGGTGGGGGGGTTGGTTGCTCATTCGGTGAACAAAATTCTAGAGATAGATGCGAGAAGACACGCAAATGGCCGGAGATCCTTGTATGTTGCGGCCCTGTAGTACGCATGGAAGATACACTCCAGCCCGAGGTCGAGAATGTTGACGGCTTCACCAGGAATACTTTTTTTCGTTCTTCAGTGTTCGCTTCACGAGGTCGGGAATTCGGGGTCGAACAACCTGCCAACACTGATGAGGCATACCCATAGAACTCTACCCGGAGAGAGAGAGTGGGACAGGGTCGACATCGCCAACACTCATGAGGCACAAGCATACGCAAGAGAGGGTGTGAGAAGAACTCGAAAGCAATTCGCTGCCCGCCGTTTGGTTTCCGTGGCTCGTCATCAAGCCATTATCGCTGTCATATAAGTCGTCCCACTATTCTGGGCGCCAGTCCACACCGATACTGCAGTTTGACGCATCAGCCCGCCGAAACTCTCCGCCTCCTGCGGTGCTCGGTGTGCTCCCGAAAAAATTACTACTTGCACTGCTGTCATGAACTGGTGCGTCCGGAGTTTCCTCTGGCGCCGCAATTCAGCACTTTGTAAAGCAACTTCAGGCGTCTGCAACAGCCATGTAGTTCGCTACGCGAATAACTACAGTTATTCGCGTAGCGCACTACACGGTACTGGCTGTAGCGAACTACATGGTACTACATGACAAAGCAGCGAAGACAGCAAGCATCAACCGCCCACCACGGCTGCTGTGGGCCAAGAGAACAAGCTGATTTGTAGGCACAGAGGGTTGCTGCAGGCTGCCCGTCATCGACAGCATGTAGTACGAGTACGACGAGGCAGACTTTGCTGACTGGTGACAGTGAAAGCGGGAGGAAGAGAGTTTGTGCACAGCGGAACCAGCAGGAGAGCAGCACCACCAACACCACCATCCACCCTCAGCATCAAGTGTTCACTGCAAGCAGGAGTGCTGAACTGCTGGTACTTACTATTACACATACACTTGGTAGCAACAGGCCGGCCAGGCCGACAGGGAACCTACAATGCCCCCACCTAGAGTGAACCGTGCCCACGACCAAGCAGACGGAAGAGTCTGGTGTTTCCACGCTTGCGACCTGAAGCCAGGCAGCCATCTCCCTTTCTTTCACCTCCCGAGCTGCTGTGCTGTGCGGCGTACGGCAGCGCAAAAGACTGCTGTCGCTTTTCACCGCACCGACTGGGGATCCGTGAATCCGTGAAAGCGGGGGTTCAATTCTTGCGGAGGCGTCAGATGTAGCGTTTCGTCAGATGAAACGTTTCGTCGGAGTACACGTTTCGTCGAGCGAGCCGGTGAGCCGGTGGGCCGGTGAGCCGGACGGACGCACCAGGTACAAGTTACATTCAATTCACTTTGTTGCCTTTTCGAGGAATATACTTGCTGCTGTTGTGTGGGCGACGAGACGACCAAGAGACGTCGTACGTATACCTTCAGGAGGAGCTGGGTCATGCACAATCAACAGAAGATAGTCTAGTCTAAATACATAGGTCCCGTCTTTCGTGTTCACGGACGGATCGAATCCGCCGCACGCATGGACCAGACTTCATGTCGAGATCATTCATCATTTGGCTGAACTCTGTCTTCATCAGTATGTAGAAGATCGGGCTTCTATATGTAGGCTCCTCTCGTACATGACACTACAGCCGTACACCAGCAAGTAGTTGAGGTTTCTGGCGCCACTCACTGCCAATCCGCAACACCACGCACTGCTGTGAAGACTTTGTTAGCACATTACTCTCGACTGTGGTTAAACTATATCTCGAACGCGTATTGTATAGTCTTTCTGTGAGACTACGCTATGATCGAAATCTTCTGCTGGCCTCTACGCGTATGATCTCAACCACTCCTCCTCTCGAAGTACGCGGAGTCACGTATGTATGTACATTAGTCTAGAGATTTTTCCTGTTCTCCCTGATACTGCAGCCTCTCGCTGTTGCGCAAGAAAAATGGTCCAAAATAAACAACTTCGAAGGACATGCAAAAAAGGCACGTTTGCCTATCTGATGACGCTGGCCCTCTGGGGTGTGGCCTACAATGGTCTGTGGGAGAGACTCGAAACCTGCCGTACTGGACAGAGGTGAGCCGAGGGCGCTCTATGGCCAGCAAGACAGCACAACAATCAGAGCCAGCAACTGTCTAGACTATACACCGTGACCTTACAGAATGAGGATGGGTGCACGAAAAAAAAAGAAAGACTACTTCCTACGAATGAGCAAGTGCACACCAAAATTTTCTTCGACACCAACAGCTGTACGTTGTAATCGACAAATGTTCATATTGGTGAAGTGTGGGCCAGGGGGGATGATGCTGCTATTGTCGAATGTAGTGTGTGGACGGGTAGAGTTTTTGGGCACGCAGACGAGCTGCAGGGATGTCGGTGTACCTCCTCGGGCTTGTGGATCTTCTGATGGGCTCTAGCATTTTTGTGACCACGGACCGCGTCTTTGCTAGATTTTGGGATTAGCAACTGACACGGGTTTTATGTGAAGACAACAACAACAATGACCTTAGTTCTTATATGGGGCATTTTCAGGGTTCCCGAGGGGGTTACCTACGTGTGTGTGCGGGATGACTCACGTGTACCCTCGGAATGAGCTCGATATTATTTTTGGGCGCTGGGATTCACTTCGTACAACTGTTCATTCGTTTTTTCCTGCTGCTTCGGTGCAGTAGTAGCACAAAAGGCCCCCATCCAATTGAAGCCCTATAAAGGGTTGGCCGTGTTGCTCATTCTGCACGACCGAGCTGTCACATGGTTGACACGACTTGCTGGCCTCCAGACAACAGCTGCTCACGTGCCGCGTTCGCATTTGGCAACAAACTCACCTGTCTACGAAGCTCGCTACAGTAGTAGCAGGGGATTAAATCGGCCCCTCCCTGGCGCGGAGGTGGGGGCAAGAAACGTACGTAACCACAAGTCGCATGGGATGAAACTTTATATTGCTTGCACTTACAACAACGAACGGGTTCTACATTTACTGACCAACCACCCACATTTACTGACCAACCACCCACTCTTCTTCAACATCGAGCACGTCCAGCATGAGGACGCGCCGCAAAAAGCACAAGAGTACAAAGGGAAATACTAAACACGAATGCTCGGTGTCCCCTACGGCACCCACGACGTGCAATGAATGCTTGGGTCATCACCCATGACAATCACGTCAACAAGCTCGTAAGGATACCCTTTTTACGGGCTTGGGAACGAATGGAGGCGAAAACAAAATTCTCGAATGCAAACACAACACGCAAACAGGTCTAGATGGAATGCTGCACAAAACAACACCCACCTCGCCTCCAAACGAGGCCCGACTGCACCTCACCACAACATGACAAAGAGACAGCACCCGATTTAACAATAAAGAATTTTACGTCCACTCGGAATATTACATGTCGCCTTCAGAGAATGGGAATGGGTTTCGATGAACAAAAATAATATCATTTAGCTAGAAAAAAAGATTGACCAAAAGGAGAACGGTCATCAAAAGCAATGGGCATGCACCCATTGTCTACTCCGCGCAGTCTCCTTTCCGAAACCGTGGCCAACAACGATAAAATCGAGGAATTTCGTGCCCATGCGGGCGTTCATACTGTGCCCACGCCCAGATCGAACCCGAACTTCCTCCTTCTTGCTTGTGCTACTCTCCTCCCCCTCGACATGATGCGCCTAGCAACCACTACATGGGGCACTTGACAACGTGGACCATTTCAGCTACTTTTTTTTTCTGTGTCTACGGCCTGCATTTCTGATGTTAGTATACTTCGTAGGTCATTGATCAACCTCCAGGATTTGCTCTGCAGTGCCACCAAGAGCGAGGGTCAAGTTGCACCGCAAGCAGCGGGGGTACAGGCGGCGGCACTTGAAACAACGCATGGAGACAAGCCAGCAGCAGCGTGCCACCACCACATTTACAGCGCATGGAAATAGATCCGCGCCAAGTCGTTCACATCCGTGGCCTAGGACGCACTCGCTGCCAACCACTTCCCAACAAACCGTCATACAAACAGCTCTCCATCAAATGAATCATCTCCGGCAAAACTCTTGAACGTTATGCACCTACGCCGAGCCCTTGGGCGGGGGGGCAGGGTTCCTGGGAAAGGCCTTGATACTGTTCAGGCCAGCAGGGCATCTCTCCATCTAGGCTCCCCAGGGCTTGAAGGCCGACTGCGTCTTGGGGACCTGTCTGGCGATGTCGGGGAAGTGGCGTTCAAGGAGGTCCCTCATGCCCTCTGTGTTGGTGACGCGGTCGAACGCTTCCTGGGAGTACACCTGTGGTTCAAGGGGCAACAACACCGAAGCACGCGAGGTTGGTCGGGGTTTGTTGTTGCAGTTCGTCACGAGAAACCGGCATCCGTCCCCCACAATATGCCAGGTTGTTTGTTGCTCGTCATAAGAGAAAAATCGGCACACCGCGCGGAAAACGCCATCATTTCGTCGTCACTCCATCGTCTCCAGTCTTTTCCATGTCGCCGACGTATCCATCCCTCCTGAGGACGGGCTGACAGGACATGTTGTGTTTGCCGTGAATGGAAGTGAGCGTTGCGTCCATCGTCGGTATAGACGCATCAAGAGGGGAACGACTCGACCTTTTACAACAGGACTGCATCCAGTAGGGGGCCTCAGGCAGAAACCTTCCGTGTGACCAACGGGTTGGAGTAAACAGCACAACGATGTGAGCGCCGATTACAAGTCAAGACAAAGATACAACAAAAAATAAAGTAAAAAGTACCTCCGGGGTGAAGTCCTTGGTGAAGAAGCGGTCGGCCTCGAGGCGGCGGCTGGCCATTACGATGAAGATGTGGAACGACGTCTCGCTGCACGGACACCAAGCAAAGGTCAAAAGAGCAAAAACAACGACACGGGTATATGCTTGTTGTGATCCTTTCATGGTAGCATCATACAATCAAAGACAACAATTGTGATGATATTTTTCGAAGTATGACGTAAGATTCTATTAATATGTACATGTATAAAACAACGGACACAATCGCGAAAAGATGAAGAGAACAGATAACTAGACAGGTTTTGGTAGAGGCAAGAGCCAAAACAAACGAGACGAATCGCAAACAGAACAAGACAACAAAAGCAATCGACACGTTTAGCACCGAGACGGCTGGCGTAGGAGTGAAACAAAAAATCATTGTGCAGCAGGAAACACACACAGAGAAGCAGAGTGTGCCGCAGGAGCTTAGTAGCACAACGGTGTGGTACGGGTGTGCCTTCCTCCGTGGTGCGCGGAACCCGGAGGCTCCCCCAACACCCCCCACCATTGTACCCAAGGGGAGTTGCTTCTCTCTGACCTGATGGCGAAACCGTCGATCTTGTCCTCCGCCAGGTTGCCCACGAGTACGTCGAGGAGCTCCACATCGTCGCCGTACACTTCCTGCAGGGCTTCCTGTAGATTAACAAGAAATCAGCAGCAAAAACGCAAGCAAAAGAAACGTGTGACGAGACACAGGTTCTTGACCACCATAAGGCAACCGCCCACGTCACTAGCGCCAACACCATCACCACAGATCATGACAACACCCTTTACCACCAACAAGCACAAATTAAGGAAAAATAAATGCACACACAGAGAGACTACCAATCCGATCCAGAAGGACAACACCAAATTAAATGAAACACTGATACATGCATACGCTATGGCGTCACACACTGGGAGCTAAGAATATTAAGTGTATAGGATACAATAGACTTGAAAATGAGCAAAGCATCCAGCCGTTTTTTCTTTCCACGCACTGTCGAGACTTCAACGCATATCCCCCTTCGAATGCGGTTGGATCTCAAAGGTAGTCTTGATGTCTTCGCAATGTTGAGAAAAAAAAAATCACGCACATGAACACCATCCTTGGTATGCGCGAGATTTCTATCTTACCTGGTACTCCTTGTCCTTCGTCAGGTCGCTCCACTTCTTGATGGGGTTCATGTTGAGCGCGCGGCGCATGTCGTTGAACCGCGGGATGCCTGAGGAAGAGCGGCATGTCGCAATCATTGGAGCAGGGAAACGGGTCGGGTCCGGTCTAACAGGCTGAAGGGCGGAACCATGAAAGTCAAAGGCACGTGTGTGACGCCAACAGGAAATGGATAGGTCCCCTCGACACCCAAGAGGGGATGAGAGGGGGGTGTAGGGAGGCGATTGCAGCTAACATATGATGTCAGATACCCAGTGGGGGGTCCAACACACCCAACAAGCTCGAAGAAAAGATTGCCTTGCAAGAATATCATTTGTTTGGGCTTGGTTTGTGTGTCGGGATACAGAATGGGAGCGCGACATTAGATGTTGGTTGCACTCGCCTCCTACACACCCCTCTACCCCCGCCTGCGCATTATGGAGGGGCACCGGTAACAAACGAAAAATTATATGGCAACAGGGGTATCAGAAAGTTGTCTACCACCATCCCGAAAAGTCCTTGCTCGCCTCAGGTTCCGTTCAAGTAATTTCAAGCCCCCGATCCCTCCTCGACTGAACCCAACCTTCGCTTCATACCTACATCTGCCACCTTCACCATCGCCTCGTTTTCCTCAAGTCCATACATGTACCCGTTCGCTTCAGTTACATCTGCCATCTTACGAGATGGCCATCATCATCGTCTCCTCAGTGCTTTCCAAAGCTCACGTCCCTGTAAAGCAGCAGCAGGTCTGAGCTTACCCCTGGCGCGGTCCCTGTGGATGTCGAGGACGGCCAGGTCGACCGGCGCGGTCGTATCCGGGGTCCCCGCGTTATCGGTAGGGGACAGCTTTCGGAAGAATTTGGGGTAGTTGAATAGCACCAGCGCCCCGCAGGGGTCGCGAACAGCGGCCTACGTTGAATGGCAACCCCGGGGGGGGGGGGGACGTTACTCGTGTTTTCGGATACCGTAGCGGTTATAGATCATTGACCACGCGTCCTCGAGAGGACGGCGCATTGCTCCCGCAGAACCCATCACCGACCGCCAATCATTTTGTGGGTAAGGGGGTGGGTGCGTTACATATGTGTTTGCCGCCCTAGTTGCTAGACTATTGACCACGCGGACGGGATAGAGGAGAGCGTAGTCAACAAACAGGTAAGCGGTCATATGCGTACCTCCCAGAACGGTCCGGCTCCGATCCTGCGAAGGGTGTTCTCGCCCTCCACGGCGACCAGATCCTCCATCTGCACAGTCTCTCCGGGCAGCTCCATCTGTTTCGACAACAAGAATTTGACAAGAGATAGTGCTTGACTTGTTCGAATCGATACTCAGCCCAATCTGTTTTTACAAAAGAGTGTGACGAGAAATATCGGTGACACATCGACAACGATCATGCTAGTTTTACTTCTGTAGACAAGACAATTGACTTTTTTCACCACGATGTTTTGAGTATCGTAGAACACAAGTCGGTATACCTTTTCGCCATCACGTGTGAAGCACCTTCTCCATTTGTCAAACAGGGCAAAAAAAAAAAAAAAACTCACCGAGTCGGGCAGCATGGGGTGAAGCCTGTACACGGCCGCGAACTCCTCCGTCAGCTTGTAGGGAGTTCCATGGTTGTTGGGCTAGAAAAATTGTCGGGGAGTTTTTGGAGCAGAGCCGTCAATTCGGGAGAGGGGACAACCGGGGGGAGAGCAAGAGTGCAAGCGGCGGGGGGGGGGGGGGNCTCGCATACGGATGACAGCTGCGTATGACTTCATTTATTTTCTGGTGGTTTCACTTCCAGAGACAGTTGTAAGCACTGTATAACTGCCTCGAGGGTGCTTGACCATTTCAACACAGCGTGGTGCGATCATCCCCCTTGCGCGGAGTGAGGATTCTCGACCCCGCACAACATGATCTACCCGACCACCATTTTGGTTACCGCCAAAAAAAAAATCGGAGGTAACAAAAAAAAAACGGTAACCTGGTTGCCGAGTTAACGAAGTGAATTGACTTGTTTTACAACGTCGTTGCCAAGCGACGAAAACCCAATCCCGATGGCAAACACCGGGGGGGG